CTAGGCAGTCATGTGAAAGCAGACTCACTGACACTGGTCAAAGTGGAAATGAAGTTGTGCATTTCCAATCGGTGATCATCAATTCAACTCAAATTAATGTTCTACCTCAAAGCGATTAATTGCTTGATTTGAAGACTGCAAAAAGAGGATTAAAGTACCTTTATGACTTCGTCAATACCGGCACTTCGATTAGGCGGTATCATATCCCTGAATTTCGTGTTGATTTCTGTGTAAAGGGCATGAATTGTCGGGTCTAGAGGTACGCGCATCATCGATTCCATATTTGATCCATTGATGTAGGCATATCTGGAAGAATCGACAGACATCCTTTGATGCTTGAAAGAGGTGGAAGCGTTTGGCACAGTAGATGTGTAACAGTAAGTCAGGAATGCCTTATTGCTCGCCCTGCATTTAATCATGATCCAAGGGAATATTTGACAGGTAGTCACTTTGGATATTGAAGTATCCCAACACAAAAGGTAGTACACGTGATTGTTAACCCTTTACTTGTGATGTCGTGGTTTTTTTATTCACGGGTCAAACTATCTGATGGGGAAGAGGGGGAGGAGGGGAGTTTATGTTAAATTAAAATCACGGTACAACTTTATCTATGAATAAATTTTCGATGGATTTTTGCTGTTGGATGGCAAGCTTCTATTAAAGAAGTTATTTCACTCCTAATAAGTTGGCAATAGCAAAACACCGATGCATATTGATGGACCCACGTGCCCTACTAACCCGATCATACCGCCTGCATCAAGCGCTATTGTAGCTTTTCATTCCGCAGACTGAAGTCTGTTTCGACTGTATCGGCCTTTTCCTTCTTTTGCAATTCCACCTCCACGACATTGGTGTGAGATCCATCCTGCATTTCCTCTTACTGGTTCCCCAATTCATCTATACATTTACAACAGAGGTACTTCCACATATTTTCACCTCAATGTGTCTAAAGGGATTAGTTGAACACCGTATTTCACTTTGAGTTAGTAAATCCACTGCAAAAGAACTGCACTTCCAAATTAACGACTTGATATTCCTCTTAAAAGTGGCAGGAAGAAACATTTGCGTTATTGTTGAATACACAGGCTATAGAAAGAGGAAAGTAGGCAAAAGCATTGTGATTGCCAGGCGACTGTTTCAATCTACAAAGTGGCTGGTTCTAGCAGAAGGTCAGACTTGAATTAATCGAAGTCGAGCATAAATTGAACAGGTGTTAGGACATTAAGGCTTCTTTAATTTAAGGTCGTGGAAGCAGTGGCCAAGTAGACGCACTTGTAGTACTCCTGATGAAGGAGGGTGAAGATGGTGGTGGGGAGGGTCTTCAGTGCCGTGAAGGAACGGTAGGCGGCGTAGTTGGCGCAGAATGCAATGACGAGAATGAGGCAAAAGAACCACCACACTACGATGAGGATCTGACTCGACGTCTGACTTGGTGGCCGTGTTCGCACTCCCTGCAGTCACACAGATACACACACATACACAACTCGTTGGACGATGCCTTGGTTATTGGTCTTGGCGCACCACTTAGGTTTTACCTCTACCTAACACCTAGTAAGCTAAATCATTTGTTTGACGACAAAACAATGTTAATTTCCAGTCGTATATGCGTTTGCGTAGTTGTTGGTAGTGCCTTGCCGATAAGCCTCCATGTCGCCAGCGCACGGTCCTCCTAGCATTTATTTCATGCAATTAATTCGATGGCGCATTGAATGGCATCACTCGCATTGCATTATGCTCACATTTTATGAAGACGCGGTCCTCAAAGCTGACTGTGTATAAATAACGCCCAACAATTCTAAGGTAGACTTCTGTTGTCCAGCGTCTCAACCTTTAGGCTCTCCTTCTGCAAAGGGGACCGCAAAGCACTGAAACAGGAATTGAATAATTCCATATCAATCATGGACCAAATACTTGTTTTTGATGTAATAACGAGGTAATTGGATAGTATTGTCTTGTGTTGCTGGGACATGAGAGCAATCAAGATAAGCAGCCGGGTGGCATTAAATTTGCTGCACCATGAAAAGAAGAATTGGAGGTATATCTCGCTATGTGGTGGAGTGGCGAATGTGCTCCCATTATCAGATCTTGTTTCTGTCTCAGCTGATTTACCATAACTTAGAGATCGGTAGTGATCACTGAAGCAGTACAGTGATCACAAGGAAGCGTGGTAGGTGATCCTCAAAACTCAATGGAAGTTGTATTGTGGATACTCATTTGTTTTAACTGTCTGTACCGCTAAACGTTTCTTCGTAGCATTCCGCGATTTGACGAAGCTACTGCCGAGTTCCTACACCTTTTAACTTTTTCCTTGGTAAATTAGGTGCTGCTGTATATCTCCAATATGGACAGAGGGGTGATTGCTTACCTGAAATAGATAACCAAAAACGAAGATAATAGCGGGATGGATACTGAAGCCGTGAGTGTTGGGGCTGATTTTGTGAATGAGGGCAAGGGCCACACCAATGCTGACCGTGGCAAGGAAGATGAGCAACCACGCGGAGGCGTCGAAGGCGATGACAAACTGGAAAATTTGCGTGAGGGCTGAGAGGGAGGGACGGAAGTACATGAAGTTGTAGGCAATGCTGCGAATGGGCGTGGTGCTTCGAAAACTGATCATTCGATCCCACGTCTCCGAGAAGGGACCCACTAGGAGGTCTATATCCTACGATCACGGAAAACATCTTAAGACCCAATTAGATAATGAAATCTTGAAGTTGTTTGAGAACTCACCCATTGCTCAAGATGACTGAAGATGTTAGTCCACCGCCCATCCACCTTTTCACCAAAATTCGTGTCAAAGACGGTGATGTTGTAGGACACATTCAAGCGCCCCAAAAGCTCCTTTGCTAAGACAATTTCGGCTCCCCTTAAGGTCACAGCTCCGTTCGCATCGATTTCCTCCGTTATCACTGGTGGTACCTACAAGTCAACCATCAAGCTCATTCATTCCTTTCCAATTCATTCATTCACCTTTATCGCCGCTTGCTTGTGAGTTTTACAAACACCTACACCTTCAGAAGGCAGAGCTTGAGCTAAACCTCTGATAACAACCAGCTTGTGTTACACAGACAGTCACGTGCCATGTTCACATCATTTGTCATCTTACAAGTCGCAAGATATGCTTCTATTGACCTTAATGCACATCAACCACTTTCTGTCTTTTTCAAGATTAATAAAACGCACTTGTTGACATTAAGATGGCAGAACAGCGCCACCGATAGGCCTATTTTGCTTTGTGCTGCTTGAATGCCACGTCAATAGTATTCCCTACTATTTAAACTCTACCGCCAAGTATAAGTAGAAAGAGCTATGAAATGCAAGATTACTTGACGTAACGTAAGCAGTATGAGAAAGGACATTTAATCTCTTACTACGACTGTGCCGAGGCGGAGGGGTTTCCTCCTCATTCGACTGAGCAAAAGTCCTCTTTCTGGCGGAGGCTTCAGGGCCTGGAAATTTCCGCTAATTGAGCCGTTGGTGGAGATTTGTACCTTGTATAGCTTGAAAACGCGCAAGACAGAGAGTGAATAGGGTTTTAAACATCGTGTTACTGAATATGAGAAGCATTTCATTGAGAAGTGAATGGTTTGGTGCTAATGCTATGAGGGAGGCCGCAACTATAGCCAAAGTCAAGTTGGCAGCAAGCTGATTGAAGAAGCAAATGAACTTACACTTGTCGAGTCAAATTTTGAGTCCATGTAGGAGTAAAAGTGCCATATTTGCTGCAATTTCTCCGCATCAACATCATCCACAGTACTCGTAATAAGGGGCACCGGATTCCTTAACTAAAACACGATTCTATGCGTTTAAAATGGAAAGAACACTTCGGTTCATGGCATGCGGTTAAAAACATGCAAGGTGGATGTAATTTTACCATTTGGAAAAGGAATCACTGTAGCCATTTTAAATGCAAATTGTAACTTTTACTGACCGCCAAATTCTATTCTTGGTGGGTAACTTTGGAAATGTTGCAAAGCAAGTAGAGTTTTAGGCAATTAGGGCTTAATATTTCACGACTGTAAAGAGGGATTTCACCGTGGAGCGGCTACATGCAGTAATAAGCAACAGTTGCTGCTTATCGCGAGTCGGAGCAATCACTGATAAGCAGGATGCTAGGCGACGATGGTATGGATTGCATTCAACAGCGCGAGGTTCGGCGACTGGTCTACTGTCAACAAAGTAAAAAAAACCATGGTTTCTCGCGTTCACAGCAGACTCCAAGCACGGTGCGCCACAACCAACGAAACACAACACGATCGACACAACACCGTGATGGAACGCTCCGCCTCTGTGCTGCTTACCAGTAAGACACTCTGACTTAGTGGCACCTATTACAATTTCCTACATCATACATTCGCCAAATGAAGGGTGCTGGTCCGGACAAGCGCCCGCACGACGGTAACAACCCTGATCACACTACTGTAACTCAAAGCACTGCAGGCTTTCCTGTGAATGAGCATTCAGACAGTGTGCACAACAGTCCTCTCGTTTTGGACACCTAATCCTCCTACTCTCATAATCTGTCGTGCATCCGCACAGGAACGAACTCAATTTGTGCGCCAGCACCACACTATCACTCCTAAACACACGTTTGCGAATTGGAGGAGTTGGCGCACTCCTCGCACTGGACACCAGGCCAGTTCGAGGTTATGGTTGAGCAGGAAGTGGAGCAAGTTGCTATAGGCTTCACTGTCAGGTCGTACTGACAAATCTGTTGACGGTGAAACTTCTGAGTAGGTGGCATTGCGATGTTGGCAAGTGTAAAGGTGGAAATAATTGCGAATGTAGATGCAGCGGGCAACTGTGTCAGAAGAGGGACGCAATACACACTCCACGATGTCGATTGTTATGTTGTAAATTGTGATTTAATATCAGAATTCTCATTCTGACTTGATCACCGTTGTTTAAGCTGCAATATCTTTACGACAAACTTATTGGAAAAAGGGCTGAGCTCGTCAGTGATGGTAAAAATTTGGAATAAATTGGTCAGTGAAGTGAGTGAGGAATCCAGCTCCTGACACGTTGATCTTTATTCCTACTTAGGCAGGCACAAGTGAGTTCCAGATAGAGACCACAATGGATAAAGTAAAGGATCGGCGACTACAGCTTGAGAAATGCCCTTTAAAGTAACCATTTGGAATCCACTGCACCCAAACGCCATTAAACAAAAGTTGGTAAGCCATTTGTTCAAAACTTGCCTTTCATTACTACCGTCCGCGCTTTGACGCCGCTAGTCTTACTATTCAAAGTTAGCTTTTGCAACAAAGAATCCAATTCGGTACCTACCGTTGGACTTACGTCTTTTTTGAGCAGTTTTGCTAGTTTCTGAAGTCCCACAACAGCCATGTCTCGAAAAATCAGATCTTTCGGTGTTATGGGTTTTGGCAAGGCGCTCAGTTCGGTGAAGTCGGTAAGCTTGCCATTTGTAGAGAATTCAACAGCAAAGAAGTTTGTGTCGTACACGTAGAAGTCCTCCGTAGATAGGGTCACCCCCTATTTAGTAATAAAACGTCATTTGTGTCCCATTTTCCTGTATTGATGCACTATTTTGTTACTGTCAAGTCAAAAAGGGACTTGAACTACCTAATCAGTCTACTGTCGTCAAGATTTCGGTTGAAATGGTTTGTGGTAAGCGTTTAGTTATTTAAATGCAAAACTAAATACCGAATCACTTAACCATGCTTTTTATAACCTCCAGAACAGTAAGGACAGGACATGTGACCGTGTGGGAAGGAGAAATTTTGTGCTCTCCAGCTCTCTTCACCCACCATAGTAGGGCATGATTACATTACCGGAAACTACTTAATTGTTCTTGTTTAGCATACTGCATGGTGAGATAGACGTACAGCATTGAAGACAAGCCAATGGAAGGGATGTTGAAGGATGTTCTTCTCTTCCGCCTAAAAAGCGCCATTAATATCTTTATGTGGTGTCAGTAGCGCTTACCTTGCGTAGAAGTTCCAGAGCGACTTGCTGGGCTACATTGAGAATTAAAACATTGGCACCGCCGACGAGAATTTTGCTGAGAGCACCCTCAACGTTGGCAAAGTCACATAGATGGTAGACACGGAATTGATTCACTGTCCCCTTGAGGAATTGGAACGTTCTAATGTCTACGATAGAGGTCTTATCATGAACGCACTTACAACCTACCAGCGAAGGGACTAATTTCACCTTCTGCGTTAAAGGAAGAGGTTCAATTGGTGAGTAGGATTTAGTTTTCTTGAAATCTTTCTAGCCTTTTAGGGAGTCATTCGTCACTGCACCATAGATGGGACTATTGTTGAGAGGTGGGATAATAATCGCATTCTACAGAGGCCCTTAGATCGTGTTGGGTATAAAATTAGACTTTTTCATGTATTTACTCTGTTACCTTTGTTGCCAGAACTACTTAAAAGAAGTTCGTGGACTAATAAGATATTGCACAAACCCCTATTGTCGAGGATGTAGGCGAGTTTGGCGATTCCGATTTGGGAGGTGAGGTGTTCAAAAGCTGCTCCGATCACACTATTCTGCACATCAGAACTCAAGCCAAAGCCAACCGAACGAGTTCTGTTAATATCTGCCATGTTTGTCTTCCACACAGGCGGAAAGAATGAGGGTCCGTAGAAGTAGTCGGGTCCAATTTCCACGAAGATGGTCTCATTCTTTATTACTTTTAACTCTATAATAAGTAAAGATGTCTGTATGTGGAGGAGATTAGCATTTCGACTTTTGCCACATTTATGGAAACGGAAAAATACGGCCTGTTAAATGTTGCTGCACGATCCTGTAGATATGCTGTGATGTTCGTGCTTCATAAACTTTCTACTCCTGGCGTGATTTTGGGCATGCGACACATGGGAATGTGTAAGAACTCACGGTTTTCCAATTTAGCTCTCGGCGCTGGTACCTTTAGTTCGTTAAGGAACATGGGCCTGATTTCGGATACGGGAAGGTCTGAAAACTCCTTCTTTTGGAGAAGCAATGAAAACAACGCAGAGCATCGTTGTGGGTCCAATTTCGGATCTGTAAAAACTGAGACAGAAAGGAATCGTTCGAGTACTTGGCATGAAATTTGCACTATAATTAATGCTAGCGCTTAGGGGTGGTCAAAACCCTTTCGGGGGACCGATGACGCCTTCATCAAATCGCACGTCAGTTCTCCAGGAAGGGACAATGTCACATTCATTTGATCGATGCAAGAGAACATTAAAAATGTAGCACACAATAAATCCTTTTTACCATTTATGAGCTAATTATGCTGCGATCATTGCTGTGTTACGATGGAAAAGCATCAAAATTAAGTAGGTGAGTGGATGTCTTCTATAATGATTGCAAAACATTTATTTCTATACAAGTCCCAACTTTTTAGAAATCTGAACTTTCGTTTTCAGAAATAAAAACGAAACTACTCAAAGCAAAAGCATTATTTGAATTGACTTGTGAATGGGTTACAATACTGTGAGGGGAGGTGGGAAACAGAAGAGGATTTTACCATAGAGCAGAACCAGATATCCGCAGTCGGTGTAGACACCATTAGTCGAGATGGCAGGTGGTGCAGTGTAAGCTGATGCAGTGGTCAGTCTCCTGCCAACGAGGGCGCAAAAACCACGGACGCTGGTGTCCACAGCGAACTCCAAACATAGTGCGTCACAACCGACAAAACACAACACAACCGACACGACACGACACCGTGACAAAATGCTCAGCCTTTGTGCTGCTTACCAATAAGACACTCTGACTTAGTGGCACCTATTACAATTTCCTACATCATACATTCGCCAAATGAAGGGTGCTCGTCCGGACAAGCGCCCGCACGACGGTAACAACCCTGATCACACTACTGTAACTCAAAGCACTGCAGGCTTTCCTGTGAATGAGCATTCAGACAGTGTGCACAACAGTCCTCTCGTTTTGGACACCTAATCCTCCTACTCTCATAATCTGTCGTGCATCCGCACAGGAACGAACTCAATTTGTGCGCCAGCACCACACTATCACTCCTAAACACACGTTTGCGAATTGGAGGAGTTGGCGCACTCCTCGCACTGGACACCAGGCCAGTTCGAGGTTATGGTTGAGCAGGAAGTGGAGCAAGTTGCTATAGGCTTCACTGTCAGGTCGTACTGACAAATCTGTTGACGGTGAAACTTCTGAGTAGGTGGCATTGCGATGTTGGCAAGTGTAAAGGTGGAAATAATTGCGAATGTAGATGCAGCGGGTGACTGTGTCACGGGAAGATCGCAATATCTACTTCACAAAGTTGGTTGTTTTTTTACAAATTGTAATATAAAACCAGAAGTCCCACTCCGATTCGAACATAAGCTATATTTGTTGAAGATGTAATTGGAAAACCGTATACCCAATAAAATTGCTTAACATCCATGTAATATTAATTTTGTGTGTATTTTTAATCAAATTTCGTGCAATTTGCGGCTCATTAATCGGTCTGTTGCACTACAAAAAAAGGCATGATTTGGGAAATAAATAAACAAATGGCTTCTAGTCTTACGTATGGACTTGACAACGGATTGTGTGGACTTGCGCGGAGCCAAAAGGGCAAAGATGAAAATGACTCTGAAGAGACCCATCTTTACCTCAGTCTGCACGGTTTGGCAATACCCATACGTCTTACTCACACATCGTGTTTTAAGCACCTGCGTCCAAACTCGCATGCGCTTGCACACTCGCGTCCGATTGGTTCACACTACCACTCAAGGTCATTGGTTCATAAGGTCTCCTGCGTACGCACACATCGACGAGCTGCTAAGGCTGCACATAAAATCCAGCCCAGTGAGCATTGCCAATGCAATCACGTCACTAAAAACGGGTCTGGTGATTCTCAAAGAGTCTGCGTCTGCGTTCTCCAGCACAGGAAACTACGAAAATTCAATGAAAACCAGAATGTTGTTTATTTCTGCTTGTGCGATTAGGGGAGTAGTAGTCATTTTTTTTCATCACAATTTAGGCAATTGAAGTTCTGAGAAGCTCCAGTTTTTAGGCTCAAAATGCCCAACGCCCACATATGAGGGGCTATAAGGCCTAACTGCAATCTTCCCACTGCGACTTCGATAATCCCCTGCGAATTAGAGGACCGTAATGGAGTCAGGGGATGGATAATGCCATCACCGGAGTTCTTGCCACCACATTTTACCCTCATTTGGACGCAATGCCAGTGGCGCTGAGTAAACTCGCATCTTGTTTTGTGTGGGGGAGAAATGAGGTAAGGATATCATCTCATCAGTCGTAAACCACAAAATCCAGACTGGCACCTGTGCTACTTGAAAGTGGAGGAACTTTGGTGTTGGACATCAGAAACTTGCTGGTAGTTAGTCCATCATTGTGTACTTGTTTTATTATCCTATCGATAGTATCAACCGTTATATATTTTGTTTTCCTTCCCATTTCATTTATTTGACTGAGGTATGAAACTTGAGCCACTGAAATCCTCGTCTTTGTTAAATGTAGAGAGCTTACGCAGCTCCTTCGATGCCACATTTGATGCTCAACCATCAAATGTGTGATTTCTGAATCAAACTTTGGCCTAGAAAGCATAAGGCAATCCTTACAGAGCTATCAAATGAATTACTCAATTTCTAAACCCATATACGGAGACGATGGGCGCTTACTGTCATAGTTTCACCTTTAAAACTTCGGCCTGCCTATCAGAAAACGAGATATAAGCCATCGCTATGTAAATTAGTCTTCTTTGTTTCCGTTGTGAATGCGTTTAGTTGCGATAAGCATCAGCATGGGAAAGTGGAGTTAATCGGCCCGGCGCTCCCGAAACATGCATCCTTCAGACGAATTGGGATTCCGTAGTTGCCCTAAATTGACTTACCTCAAAAAGAGAATACTTTAGATCGCATCTGTGTGGTGAGGGCGGTAGTCTTAATCCATCCATCAAAACAGTGTATCACTAAAACCGGGCTAAAATCCATGTGGCGTGGCGGCTTACTGTGACTGGCCAGACTCAATGGACTTTGTAAGTGACCATTACAAGCGCTTTCTCATTGGTCGAACACTTGAGAACTCCCCATAAAAACCCGATTACAACAGGCAGCAAGACTCGTAACCGTGGCCGCCTTGGACAGAGTAAGTTAACAGATCTTTCATAACCTTCGAATTATAAAGTAAAATCCATCAGACCAGACCGCCATCGGTCATAGGTGAATTAATTCCAGGGAATGGCTAGGGCTCTCCTCCTTCACTGAAATCTTTGAACCTGCAGTTACACGTCTTGAAATTTATCTTAATGCTTACTAAAGAAGACATTTATGAGAATTTTTCAGCTAGTTAGAACAGGGAACAGTAAGCTTGGATGATGCAAACGCTTTCAGCTTTAGTAAACCCTAAGAAATTGGGCGCTTTTTTCCGAGAAACGCTCCAAGTCTTGACCTATGATAGATACTTCTTGTCATAATGTCAATAATTAGACTCCAAAGCATCACAGCTTGATGGTGTCCAGTAAGGCTGCTGATTTGCAGTGGAATGCTGGTGGGGCTTAAGTGGGTAATAATAACCGCATGGGAATAGAGCTGAAACGTGAGGGAGCTAAAAATAGCGACAAGGCACTTCACGAGTTAAAAAAACCACCACAATGCAATATGTATCCTCCTTAAAGAGTAATCGCTAACACTCTTTCGCTGCTTTTAGCGGTAAATTGTGTAATTTCAGTCCACCGATATGCTGCGCTACTCTGTTCTGCATGTGCTTAAAATGTTCCACGAATATGAGTCAACTGATCCAGTCGAAGCTGCTGCTATTGACCAGCAAATCGCGGTTCCACATGATGACATGTTGAAGCGCCACCAGTGCTTTAAGCGAGGTGAAACGACGACGAGTTTGGTGTACGTATTGCCTTTTGATGGCCGTTTTAACTCACGAAACCTTCACAAAGCCGAATCTCAGAGGAAAGCCGACACCACCATGCGTTCGAGTCAAGAAAGCCTCGATTCCAACAGATCGGAAAAATCAGGCGGAGTGGTCTCCTCCTCCTCTTTTAAGCTTGTCGGCATACAGCGTGATCTAAATCCCACCTTGGTTCAAGCCCATCGTCTGGATCAATTGGTGGAAGCCTACGCAAACATTCTCGCCGCAGTGGGTGAGAATGTTCAACGTCCCGGGCTGCTAAAGACCCCCGAGAGAGCAGCCAAGGCACTACTCTATTTCACAAAGGGTTATGGAGAAAGAGTGAGTGACGTTCTAAATGACGCAATTTTTGACGAAAACCATGGCAAACTTGTGGTGGTGCGAGACATCGAGATGTTTTCCATGTGTGAACACCATATGATCCCATTCATGGGACGAGTATCGGTGGGCTATCTGCCCAATGGAAAGGTGATTGGTTTGAGTAAGATTGCAAGGATCGTGGAGGTGTTTTCACGACGTCTGCAAGTACAGGAGCGGCTGACACGCCAGATCGCCGAGGCGATGATGGCCGCGCTTCGACCTCGTGGTGTGGGTGTGGTAGTAGAGGCCACCCATATGTGCATGGTGATGCGTGGAGTTCAAAAGGTCAATGCATTTACTGTAACCTCGGTGATGATGGGTGAGATGGAGGAAGATGCAAAGTACCGACACGAGTTTTTAATGATGATTGGCAAGAACTAACCGAATGCGGGTGGAGTTCTACGAAGGCATCTGATCGTTGTAATTTTCCTTTATGTGTCTTCTGAAAAGATACACAATTTCTGCGCCCCTTCCCTTTTACACAACTGGAGAAGAGTTAGTGAATTCTTTAGCGCAAAGGGAAACCTAAAAGACAGCAGAGGGTCAACATCTGAGTTATTGAAAGAATGCAACGTTGGAAATTCCAGAATGTGGGGCATCGGACACTGGGCAGATGTTGTATGAAGAAAAGCATAAGTAACCAAATCAAATTGGACAATTGTTAGAGTAGCTGGACCTTAAAATTACAGGAACAAGGAGTCAGGATGATTCAGTTGGTGGTAGCCCCCATTAGTAATATCCTCTAACCCGTAGTTGGGAAACAATCGACTTCAGTTAAAATCGGAATTGCAGGTGAGAAGTAGGGAAGAAACAACCTGAGCTAGGAAGAGACGATAAAATACTAAGCCGTAAATTAAATGCAAATATGCAGAGGCACATTACCTTCCCATATATTGGAAGTAAGTTAAACGAAGTTGGGTAAGTAACTACGCGATGCGAATTATTTTTAGGATTCGGAAAATCATTGGTGACTTGGAGTCAAATTCAGTATTTAACCCTCAGTTGCCTTTGAATATCGGCGCATTACGGTTTTGATAACGGGCCACTTAAGGGCTCCACCATGGCACCGCCGCCGGGCGGTTTGGTCCTAGGACCATGCCATTACCTTCATGTTCTTCCATACGTCGAAAATACGTATTCTGCTCTGCTATTATGGCTTTCGTCTTCAGGGAAGTCTCGAGACTCTACAGTAGGGAAAATGATATAGGCAGACGAACTTAAAATCAGACACCGAGAGAACATAAAAAAGAATTAATGTAAACCTTGGGAAGTGGAGAGCTGCTTACTTGAAGTGGTAGACCCTAAAAACAAGCCTAGTTCATAAAAGTGGCGCAAACTGCCGCATTGAAACAACTTATTTGCTACGAAAGAGGCAGATAAAATGCCTGTGTGCAAAGCTCTGAATTTTTCCAGACTTTGCCCAAAGGTTATGCGTCCAATCAGGAGGCACCACTCCCTCCCAAATGATCTTGTTGCATTCAAAGTTGAAGCACTTAAGAGGGCTCTGGGTTCTGCAATCTACCTTAGTGAAATAAGGTCATGACAGATTAATCCACCTCCACAAATGAAAGTTAGATTTATGAGGGTGCCTGTGTGATACGATAGTGGTTTATCCCTCGGTATTGGTGAGGCGCCACTTTTGTACTTTTAATTAGCCCTCTTGTACCTTGCTGGGTGGGCTGGCCCTTTTGGGCCATGCCAATAGCCCAGACACCTCCTCTGCGCTGAATATATGTTCTGCCCGCGTATTTTGTCTTCTTTCGTCTTCAAGGAGTCTCAGGACGCTACACCTGTCAATGGTAAGATCTGATAGCTTTGCAGACCAACTAAAACAGAAGCACTAAATAATGAGTTGTTATTCTGGATGGGAGCGCGAAGGAGAGTCGAAATACTGGACCTTCCTATGATTGATTCATTCATACGTTCAACACAAAGGTCTCAGAAGATAATCGACAGCCAAAGCCAAGACATTCAATTGTTCTAACAAGACACACTAATTATAATTAACTTTTCAGTTTCGTTCACTCGCTCTCCGAATACTAAGGAAGTACAATTTGCACCGGATCAGGAACATCCCACATCTATTTCGCCATAATTTGAAAATCAGTCTTTTAACCTAATAACAAACGCATCACGTATCCGTGACGCCACAAGCAGACGTTCCAACTGTAGTTCCTGCTAAGAATAATTCACATTATCCTCGAATATCATTAAAGCGTATTCAAAACCATGTGGACTCTAGTACTCCGTCAATAATCAGATTTATTTCAAAGGACTATTGTCGATTATAACCAAATAACAAATGAATGCTACGAAAACTAACATGGGAATCTTTTCAGACTTAAATCAAGGAACTTTCGCGATACTTGAGTTGATGGTTGATTTAAACTGCACAGGACTTTTAATCCCCGCGCCTTTTAACCACCATCTTGGTGGCGTTTGGTTCATTGCTCCATCACCCTTTGTGTAAGCATACGCAATACGACGTCCTAGAGAGGGAATGAGGAAGGACTGTAGTACACTGATTGTTTGTTTAACGCCTCAATTCGGTTACGCAGGCGTCGAAGGTGCCGCTGGTGTACTTCCGCTGTGTTACTTCCCCACTCGGCCCCTCCGTCTTCAAGAGGTCTCGGGTCGCCACGACACCTGAGTGCTAATTTGCTAAAGAAAACATCAAAGATTTTTTCATCTCTCGTTAAAACAAATCGAGCTTCTGGCAAAAATTAATATTTAACGGATAGCTGCCAAGTAATGGTAAAAAGTGGAGCAGGCAAGTATCCTTCGTGAATGTGGACGCTTTTCTGGCACGTCGTAATAAAACAAAAAACGCCAGAGGGCCATGCCAAATTTCATGTTACCCTTCTATTTGTCGCAGGCTGTGTGGTTAACTTCAGCTGCCGTAAAAAGTCGGTTCAAGTCGTTGACTCACTTTTAATTAATTGTAAGCTACTTAGTAGATGCACCTCTTAGTAGATGTGGGTACCACCGATAATTCACAAAATTGTGTACATTGGTTTTTAGCGTAATTGTAAGCTTTAAGTCTGTTAATGCAAAAAGCTGAGTTTAATCATTAAACCTTTGTTTATATGACCTTGCTTGAGTCGCGTCAATTCGGGTTTAACGAAATAGGCTATGGTTCTGGACACTGTCGGGTTTGACATTGTGTACCCTGATGGGTGTGCTGAAATAGATGGAAGCCTTCGGCCAGATGAATTAAGAAAGCGAATCAATGTACGTAGCTATTTGAAGATTTAAACTTTTTAAGGATATAAATGCTGCTCTGCGTGATATGTTGCGCCAAAGTGGAATAAAGGATGACTCGGTGACAGAAGATTCCGAAAATCAACATTCAGTAATTCAAACCCAGAAGCCAATTCAGTTGATCGGTCTTCTACTGCATTTATTGTCCCGCCAATTTACTCATCATCCTGACATTGATATCCGTTTGCGTATATGCGTGGCGGTGTGCACGCTACTGAAGCTGTTTTGCCCTACCAATCCATTCGAAACTCTCCCAGATTCGCAAAATCGCATCGAGGTACCATAGTCGCTTTTGCTAATAACTTTAGGACCTTCTTACTTTCTTAAGCGAGTCCATTTCAAATCTTTCCAAGTTGCACAGCAAGCATGATGTAAATTATCCTCGCCTATTTACAATTGTATATGTAATTCTTCTGTTTCACATCTTTATTTTACTAGACATGCTGTAAATTAGATGTATTTACTTGGTGTCGACTATTAGACAATGGCGATAAGTACTTGCTTGATTGCTTGAGGACATTAATAGAAATTGCTAAGTAAGGTGTGCCTTTTATCAAATGCTTTTCATAGAAACCTTTCAATATGGGCTTGGTCGGATGAGGAAACTGTGCGCCAGTTTCTTCTCAACTCACTTGTTACATTAATACACCAATCTTCTGCACTTCTAACCAATGACGTTGTGGCATATCTGCTATCCTTCCTCATCGAACCTGCTAAAAGCTCCCAGCCAATGCAGCACGCGCTGGTTAAGGATTTAATTGTACGAACTTCTGCACAACTGGAGTACCCCATTCAAATGGTAGATTAGGTAACTGTCTCATCCATCTTGTCTAGCTTATTCAAAACTCGCTTGTTTTAAGCGATCAGAAGTATGCATCTACAGATCTCGACGAGTCAGAAGTTGGTACTCGTCCACACGATCCTCTTGGCGAACACTCATTCATTGTGATATACGCGCTTCACACGCTGCAAGAAAGCCTAGTCTCCCCCATTTTGCCCTGTGTTGAGCTTAAACTGAAGTCTAGTATTGCCCGTGAGAGGAAAAGGGCTTTCCGCCTACTTGCTCGTATTTTCTCAGAACCTGTAAGTTACCTTGATTGCAGGTGAAATTGCTTTAGAATTCCACGGTTCATCACATGAATCCTGAGTTGTGGGCGACCTTCCTCTCCAGGTTCAATGATATTGATGCTGACGTGCGGAACTTCTGCATTCAGATGGTGCCTGTTATGTTGAAACAGAATGCTGAATTACCCAGAGGCAAGCTGATCGACTGCCTCAAGTCTTGTACCATTGACAGGACGGAATGTAAGCACTGTGTTGCTTTTGTACTTACTTATCTTTCGGTTTGTTGAACTCAACGCTCCCCTTCCCGCATCCAGCTGTTCGTTTACTGTCCCTCAAGATGGTAGCCACATTGATGCGTGAGGCGAAAGGCGATGAGGCGGACTCCCTATTTGACATAATCTACAATCGATCGAGAGACAGATCACTTTCCGTCCGCAAAGAGGTTCTCTCCGAATTGGCCCTGGTCTATAAACAGAACCTCCTGGCCGCCGATCCCAATCTTGATAAAATGGTCATGACCCTCAACTCCATCATGCATATGTATTACCAACCATCTGTTGATGACAAGTGAGCTTTTCGTCCTCGGTTAGATTTCTGGCCCGAATTTGTCCGCAATGTTTTATCCAAGATTTATAAGCATCCCTGCCTGTCACATATTCATGTTGTATACCTTACCATATGTTGCATTCGTCCTAGACGCATCTCTGACATTCCCTCTTCTCAAACCTAGGATAATAGTCGAACGACTTTTCAAAAGTTGCATTGTGCCCTACAACTTCGATACCAAGGAACGAGTTAAAAGTCTTTTCACCTGCTACCAGTTGGCGGATGATGCATCAATTAAAGCTATCCAAGAACTCCTTAAAGTCCAGTTTGTGTGAGTTAATCTTCACCAAAGACGTAATTGTATCTGAATTGGTCATTCGGTGATTTAACCCTATCGATCCGTTATAACTCGTTTCCAGTTGTCTTTATCTTAATTAAGTGAAATCTTTCACTTATAATGACTTAGATTAACCATTTTTTGCAGTGGGTCTGCAATCGTACGGGAGGCTCTTCGCATTATTGTTGATCACCAGGGCAAAAGGATTATGGGCCGGACTAGTGCTGAAATGGTTCGAGTTCTCCAGAAACTCTCCAGTAATAATCTTAAATATGCTATGTTTTTTAACTCAATTCAGCATTAACTTGGCCTCTCCGCTTTGCCCAGGTCTACTACCGAAAGCCGAAAAGGCAATTGACCACCTGAAAAAGTTTTTTAATGCAGTTCACTCTGATCGAGCACTGAGAACCAGCTGCTGTCAACTCTTTCACCCCAATTGTTCCTCAAAGGCGGCAGCTCAGTGCATGGTGCGTTTCCTTCTTTGCATTGAGAAATTCACCCTTGTGTTCACTTGCTTGGAGTCTGTAAAAGGTCGTTAAGGTGTGAACCTGTCCTCCCTCAATTGCTTTACTATTCATGTTTTGTAGTCTCGGTGGGTCTCTAAAGCGCCTTAAATGATATAAAATTGGTTTGTGTTTTGCATTTGCTTATGCCTCCCGAGGTAACTACTTTTTTGAGTAATTATACCACCGGAACTACTGTTGCAAAGTTCCAAGATCTAGGAGTGTGAAGCCAGGCTTATCGCATCTACACAGAAGGACTGTAGGACCAGCATTTCCGACCTTAGGAGACTTGAACAGATCCACATAGTGGCATATACGGTTTGAATCGATATCATTTTGCTAAGTTGACATCGTCTTGTCTTCAGTTTCGACTCCGGTGCTCTTTGTAGTCGTCGTAAATATTCTAGTGGGTTGCAAGAGGAGCGAAGGTACAAATTTGCATCATATCGCGAGTGTTACTCATTTTATGTGATAGTACCTCTCGTGGATTGTGAAGCAGTGTTATGTTGGACATTTTAGATGGCGATTTCTTTTCATAGGAACGTTTTTTCTGAATTTATGGTGGAAGAGAGTGCTGTGTTTTTAGGTGAAGATTGAGAATTACTGTCTTAATTAGCAACATAGTAAGTGGTTCTCTGAGAAAGATTTCGGCTTGATCCATTTCGGTCTCCCTTTGGCATTGGTCACCACTCATAATCAGGGATTGGAGTAGTTGTTAAGGTTCAGATTCAGCCTCCCATAGTAAACGCCCCCCTTCTGTGACACCTCACCGCAATGTTCACCGCAACTTGCTAATGGCGAGACTCATTCATTTATCTTGGCAGCACGATGTGTTGAAGCGAATTGCCTCACAGTCAGGTAGTGGTGGCGGGGGAGGTGAAGTAGCGCAATACGAACACACTGTGAAACTGCTTGTGGAGCGTTGTGCCTCCGTCCTCTTTGATGAGGCCTTCGGTCAAGAGCTCCTTACTCGCCTAGTCGTCTCCATGGAAACCGGTTCTTCACAGAACTCCATCAGAGAGGAGGTAGTCGGCCAGGAGTTGGTGAGGGATTTGCGGATCCTTCTTGCTCTCTCCGTCTACCACAAGGTTCATATTTTTTTCAGTTGACTTTCAGACATTTTTGCCTATCGTGAATTCATGTATTCGGTTCTTGATCATTTTCGTAACTAAGTTTAATTTCTTTTTATATTGCCTTTTCAACGCCTAGTCTATTTGACTACTGTGTGGACATGTCCTGTTTTCATTATAGGACACATTACCCGCGGATGACATGTTCCAGTACATCAACAGCGTCCTCGATACTCACCGAAGCATCCTCGTTCCCGACGTTCCCGTTGAAAGCACTTCGACTGAGGATCCCAGTACACCGATTGAATTATGCCTCCAAGTGGGTTTCATTGCTTTTTTAATGTTTTTTTACAAGAAGAATTTAAAGTTCTCATTGTCTTTTCCCTTGAACAGACGTTGAAGTCCTTTTATTGTATGTCCAGGAGATCTCTTCCAAGTAACTCGTTAACACGATCATTTTATAGATCTTTAGCCTTGGTTTTTTAGTGTTGTGTTTCGTTAGTTGTATACTGGTACCTTGTTTTTAAAATTTTCGTGAAACTTATAAGTAAACAGTTTTAATATTTAATTTTGTTCAAAGTAATTTGTATAGACTGCAAATTTTTTGCTCCAAAAAGCGATGTCAATATACTTTTTGCGAAGCCTTTCTGTATTCATATGACGTTTCATTAATTGCAAGTCATTTCAAGCACTTGATTTGGCATCACGCATTGTCACCGTTGTCGTAGAATACAATCTATCTTGTTTTCCCCATATTGTGCTAAAAATAAGTTTACCGTATGGCTCTCACATTTCCTCTTGTCTGCTAGTTGAAACGGCTTTTTTGATTCGGTATTTCCTCAAATTTACGCGTATCGTATATCCTTTGATAGCAGCAAACCATGCCGCTTCCATCATTTCGATAAAACTTTCTCACCTCCGTCACACGCACAAAGCTCGACGCTTTTCTCTCTATTAATCTATCGAAACTCTTCCCACAGGTTCTGTGCTGCCTCCTTGGTGGCGGTCCAATTTATGGTCCGAAGGATGCAGGTGGTAGCGGAGCCACTCTGGAGCAGCACGAGGCTAATTTTCAGGCCTCTTTGGAGGGTGCAGAGGCATCAGCGTCGACGGAGGTAGAGAAGCGACACAAGGGGGTTAAGTCGGTCGCTAAGCGCTTTCGTGGCGTCGGCCTCTACTCCGGCAGTGAAGAGCAGCTCTGCGAACAAACACTGCATATCCTCCCACTCCTCGCTACCTTCTGTACCTCTGGGCTCACTGCTGCCTACCCACCTGTCCCCATCGTTGATAGTCATAAATCCACTACTCCTACCACCAAGGCAAAACGTAAGACATTGTCCTTCACTGGGAATCAGATTTTCAACATTTAGTTGATGCGATCTTCCTGCGTGTATGTGTTTGCTTCAGGTCAGCGTCGGGGAGAGAAAGAATCGGCAGTGGATGAAGCCACTGAAGAGCCAGTGACCGTGGGTCAAGCCGGTTTAGCGTGGCGTCGAGAGAAACGACGAGCCAAGCTGTCGGTGCGAGTGCTGCGTCAGCTGCTGTCAGTGGTTCACGCGTTGGCTGGAAAGCATTCGACTTTCCCCAAAGGACCTGTCTCCACTCTTGAGGCCGCGCGTCAGGAAAGTGACGTTAATGACGAGGAGGAGGAGGAAATGGAGAACAAGAAGGCGAAGACGAGCACCACTACTGAAGGTGACGGCACTGTCTTAGCGGAAGAAGGTGAGGATCTCGATTCGGTGTGCTCCGAGGCGCCTAGAATGGCGAATCTGGAAGTGAAGATTCAGCAAACTCTGGACGACATTGTAAAGGTATTTTGGCGTCAAATTGAACAGTGTATGAGGATTTAACATTATCGCTTGCTTTTTTCCTCCTCCCCCTAGACGTGCCTGGCTTGTGAGATCACCAGTTCGGACTACATCGCCTGTTTGACCACTCTGAGTCACGTGGGTCTACTGTTTCCGGGTGTGTACAATCCTCAACTAAAGCCCCTTATGACGGGCCATTTAATTCCAAACCTTTTGACCAAAGATGGAGATACAGAGGCGTCAACAACATCCAAGGCAGCGAAGAGGAGTGGAAGGAAACAAAAGGCGCAGACGGAGACTGAGAACAACAGCAAAGAAGATGCGAAGCCTTCTGATTGGACTCCAGATGGCAACCTTCCCCTTCTTACTCGTGCCAAGGTTTGTATACTGTTGTGGCGCCCGGGTTATCCCTTGAACACTATGAGGCATACGAGTCTGGAACTAGCTTTATCATAAACGCTTGGAAGGACTGAGAGCCTGATAGCTCCAAGCCGATGTAGTCGATACTTGTCTATTACTGAACCGTCCCTGTAACAGAAGGCATAACTTACACTACACTGACTAGAGTTGGCTTAATTCCTCGTAGATAGCAGCGGTGAAACTGATGGCCAATTGGCTGGTGGGACTGAAGCTGCAGAATAAACAGGTCGCCCAGATTATCATTCGTCTCATCCATCGCATCATCGTACATGACGGTGATTTGACGTGCAATGGTCTAATGAGGTGAGTGGAAATTTAGACAATTAGCGGACTTTACTCCTCTTTTAACTTAACTCGGGTTTTGAACTTAGAGTGTACGTTAGATAGAAGAGTTGGTTTTAAATGGTGAGTTCTTTTGCTTATCCCATCTCCATTAAGAGGCAGTGTTATTAATCAAGCGCTGTACTCTTAAACCTCTACTCGTATAATCTAGTACTACTTTTATGCCGACTCACAACAAGGAAGCCCGGATGGAGGGGAACAGAAGAGCAGGTGATCAATGAAAGGCGCTTCTGCTGTTTAATTAGTTTTATGCGTGCGGCGGTTAAGTGGAGTGTCTATGTTGACCGATCCTCTACATTATTTTGAATCGCTTCGTTCAGTCAATGCCCCACCCATGTCTTATAAGGTCAAAATGAGTAATGGTAGTGCTGGGACGTCAGATACCATTAAATATTTCGATGGCTGTTCTCTGGTAATAATTTACTTGAATTAGAAGGTGATAATTCTTAGAACGCTAACGCGTTGATGTAAATACATAACACTGGTGTCTGTGCAATGCAGTTTCCTCACGGATGTAAAGGTGAATCAATTAGACATCTTGATGTTAAACAATAAAAGTGCTCTAATTTTTTTCCACCTTTGCACAGTCTTGGCGACATGTCCCGAATGCGTCTTGTGGCCGCAACTTCCTGGTTGAAGATCGCCTATTTTCAGTTCTACGCTGAGGTCATTGAAGTCAGTTGGTATCAGTCTATGTCCTACGTTATGTGTGTACGTCTCATCGCATATTCTTCCATTCCTTACTATTTCGATTACCAATTCTGCCTGTTTGCACTATTATTAGTCGCTATTGGTTTCCGCAGTAGTATAGTAGCTACTGCGATCTAGTAAGAACTGATGTGGCATGGGGCTTTCTTTTAATGGGTTGGGATTTTCACGGTGCATCCATTGTCGAAAGATACTCTTTAACTCAAGCCCTCAATCAGTACATGGAACTTTTCCACACGTTTATCATTCTTTGAAACTGCCGTGAATATACATTTTGTTGCCCTTCATATATTTAATCTACCAAAGGTAGTGATTTTGAAGCTCTAATTTTCACGGAATAAACAAATCCAGGGTCTGTTGAATATGAATTTCATTACTATTGTGGCTATTGGGGGTTATTGGGTAGAATTTCAGGCGCGTAAAATACAAATGATGTTCTCTTCTGAAAAATTGTTCAGTCAAAAGAAATGCAAAGAGCCACAATGACAAATAAAAAGTCGACGAAATTTCTAGGCGCTGTTACCCGGGGTGTTTACCTTGATGCAAACCAAATTAAATCTGATGAAAATATGAACTTCTCTTTCATCACGCTGGTATGTCAGGTCGCTGTGTGATTAAGTTCTTTTAGACATAAATCAGACTAAATGGACATCCCGAGAGTCTGCATTTAACGTTTACCGTTAGTGGCATGCATATTCGACGCTCCGATTTTTCTATCTTAGCCCGGTGTTGCGATTTTATGATGTGCCCTTTATCAGTTTATTATTCTATGTAACAAACAGGTTAGTTCAAATTAAAAGGAGCAAAAATGGATGTAGGGTGTTCTTGGTGTGGGGGAAGTTCTGCTTAATTTTTGAGCAGCGACTGAAATGAGCCAAAGGAGGAACGATTGCTGTCCTATTAGAACAACAAAGCGTCATGGTTGCGATGGTTAAATCTCGTCTGAGATCCCCACAAGCACCATGTTAATTGTAACTCAAGCATTTTGTCCATTTGAAGTGTCAATTCCCCTTTTCTCATCAAACAGCGAGCATTTCATATGTACAGAAAGGATCATTTTCTTGGCAAAATACAAAGTATTGATATTGCTATTAATATTTATGTGGCATTGGTTCAGCAAAGGCTTATTGAGGTAAGGTTGATAAGCTCCGCCCTTTATTTATACTTTTGAAACGTTTGCGCAAAGTACGTGTAGATCGGTAGCTTTTCCTAACTTACTGAATCGCTTTTCTCCTCTTCCTTGTGCTACATAGGATCCCTGTAGTAACGTGCGATCCCACTTTCTCGGAGTGCTGCATCAGGGCCTAATTCAGTTGAAACTGCCCCTTGAGTACATGGCCATGTTCGCCCACGCCGCCGACGTGTCCGAGTTGGCCTTTCGACAACGCGCGAAGCAGTACCTTGCAGCCAACGTCAAGCAGCGCAGGGAGTTTCTAGCCAAGCACGGACTCTTTAATGAGAATCCCAGTACGTTGTTTTCCTTTTTGTTTAAGCACATTAGTTTATCAGAGTGGAGAAGAAATACGGTTTGTGTCTGTTTTAGAGCTTCTCTTCGCTCTGCTGCCCGACTTTGTGTTGGCTTATGCCATTCACTTGCTGGCGCATGACCCCGACTGGGAGAAACCGGATGATGTGGCTCGTCTGAGCATTGTGAAATCGTAAGTCTCTCTTGTTGCCGCATGTTCATTCTTCTCATTTCTTTCTTTTGCAGGGCACTCTGGTTTATAATGGAACCTATCATGGCTGGTGGTAGCAACTACACTTTTCTACGTCAGTTGCTGGAAAGGATTAAGCATTCACGGGACGCTCTTTGTCCCACAGATGAGAACATCAACACGGTAAGCAGTGAGGACTTTTTCATTGGCCGTCTACACGTTTTGGGAGCGCGGCCGGTGTCATAGCCGTCCGAACTCTTGAAGGAATCCTTCAAACTGTCCTGCGGTTTCACTTTAGACTTCTCTTGAAGCTATTCGTAAGACAGAGGAACAATCTGAGCCACATCGAACTACAGAATGGTATACTCCTTTCGATGCGCAATAATGCGTGAAATTGAAATGGCTATAATTTCTTTGATCTCCATTATCTATCAAGGATCGTTCTCGTCGTTTTCAGATGGTCTTTGTATTTCACATTGTAGCACCGACAATCCTCTGTTCAGAGAACGATTTGAGCTTCGTTGTCTTAAAATATCTCTTCCTCTGTTAGTTGCAACATTAAGGAGATCCACTTCTGATGTAAATTAGTAGGTTGATTAGGGTCGTAACTGGAGTGCATTCCATGAATACCCCTCGTCTCCAGTCCACTTTCATGGGATTTAGCTAGTGGGGAAAGGTTTTTAATATTCCCTCCTTCCTATCTACTCAACTTTCTGTAAAGTTCATTGGCTTCAGGCAACAGCATCAGAACCGTAGGAGTAGGTCTCCTGCCGGAACTTTAACCCTATTATCAGTCGTGTAAAAAAAGTTCGTGTGGTTTTTATACTACTTATCTTTTGTCTATCTCTGCATTCTCATCCTTCGCCATGTTTTCTTTGTTACATTGTATCTCAAAAGTTATTCATTCTGTTGTCGCATTCTGTATGAATGGATAGGCCTCTCGGACGATTTTAGGGAGTGTTGCATTCTATCCTGTCTTTAAACTAACAAGGAATGATTGCCAAACTAGGATCCAGCTTGTTTCACCAATCGAAATCAGTCTTGATCACCTAGAGCCTACTACATACTTTGACAGTAAGAGTGAAGACAAAGAAATGGCTGGTTGTAGCGTTTTAATTACTCTTAAAAATGTTGTGAAATGTAGGTACCTCAGAATGGAGAGAAGATTCGGAGTTCTCGGGTAAATCCTTTTCACAGGGGTGCTCGTCACTAATTGATGAACACTGGAAACCATACTCCACCTCTGCAGTCATCGTGTTTTCGAGTAATAAACGATATATGACGCCATACGATGAATCAAATCATTGGTAAGCGACCATCAGGGGCTTTTATGCAAGGTCTTGGCAAGCAGATTAGTACGGCGTTTCGATAAGCGCCCTGACTTGGAGATTATGCGTAGATAGGAGTTTTGTTGTTCCTGTTTTCATTATGATTGTCATTTTTGTTAAGAAAATTTACATCGCCTGCGACATATCCCTGGGCCTCCTGCTCACCCGTTGTACCAACATAGTGTGGAAGGGATGCCAGTTCGAAATAAAGTTGCCGCGTACCCTCTTTCTTCGAGCCCCTTCCTCTTTCTCCAACCCCGATTTTGCGCAGCTCTGTCGCGGAGAGGGCGGTAGTCCTCTGGTCACCTTCACCCCATGTAAAAACGCTAAAGCCGTAAAGGACGGTCTCATTCCTCCTCAGTTTCTTCGAGTCAAGCACCCCGCTAACAAGCAGCGCTCCCAACAGCCCCAACATTCGTCAATCGGTGATCACTCAGAGATTATAGACGAGGGTGAGAGCATGAAGGAGGAGGTAGGGGTGGAGGTGGCGCCAATCAGTGAAGCGAATAGCGACGGTGATGTTGATAATGTGGACTTGGAGGCATCGCCTGGGCATAACGAATCAGCACTGGGAGAAGAACCACGTTAGTCCCTGTTGTGTTTAATTTCTCATTCTCAATTCTATCACCTTCCTGACTGGTTATTTCTCCTTTCGTTTTCTGCAGCTGAAAAGAAGCGACGAAAGAAGAATGATGACAAGGTCGCAAATGATGTAATTTCGAAACGCGTTAAGCAGGCAAAGCGTAAGGGAAGCAAAGAAAGTGGAAATTTGAAGCAGAGCACGCTACCATTCGCGAAGGGCAAGGCCACAGGAAGTCGTCTGAACACACGCGTTACCAAATCGTCGTCCTCGTTTGGTGTCGGTTTGCGGAGATCGACGCGGCGTACCAAGTGATGGGGAAGTCTTGTTGCTGGTGCCTTTTTATCCAGATAGCCGTTCCTTGTCCCCTTCTTCCCGCACAATTGTAAGCACTTCACATTCCCTACATCTGTTCCTTTTTTTATGTATATGCGTCTGTATGTATTAACCATCTTGATGCTGAACGAACCTCGTTCAGTGAAATTTACCACTAATATATGTACATTTTTTGCTATGCCTATTTTTGTGATTTTGTTTAGATATGTTTGCCTTTTTTCCTATGTTGTCATGGCGTGGATTAAGCCTCCAATTTAAAATATTTCTTTTAAGAAACAATGGGGTGCTATTGAGATTACCTGTCTAGACCGAGTTGTTGGTTTACATCTCAGTACAGGATTTACGTGGGTGAAGTGCACAGCAGTTTGTTACATATGTAATTACTTACCTCAATCTACAAACCACTTTGTTTGATTGTCTCCCAGGCATGAGGGCGCACAGAAATTAATCAGTCTACGCTTAGGCAACTATCGACCCTGAGAGTACAACGGGTGGGCTTTTAGAGCCAAACATTGCGCTTCAACTAGGTTTGTGCGTTCGAGCTATCGTGTACCGTCGTATAACTGCGACCTCACGTGTACAGGATTGGCCTACACAAACCAACGCCCCATCATTTCGTCTTTTTGACCGTACTGGTCATTCGTCTGCCTTGGTCAAATGACCAGTCGGGTCGCATGAGATCTTGGTGGATGATGGACTTCGCAGAAGCATCAATGCTTCAACTGTATCGATCCAGTGCGTTTAGTGCTTGTAATTACCGCACAACTACAAGCCGTTTTTCTTGTCCTTTGGACACTTTAGGGAGGGATGGAAACCTCACTCAATGGCAGACTATTTTGGAAAGCTATAGTCGGTAAACAGGTCGTACAATGCATAAGCCTGGCAGGTTGTGGCGCTGTAGCGCCGCAGGCTTGCAGTGCCAATCAACCGTAACTAACCCGTGTGGCACCAACTCGGATGCTAAACCAGAGCTTTAATTGCGCACCTATGGGTGTGAATCATTATCTTTATTGGTGGCACAGTGTTGCGATTATAATAAAGCACTTTTCTCTCGCTACCATCGGAGTTAGCGCACTGTACAATTCGTTATTGGATTTTCACTCGGTTCGGAAATACCTTAGCCCCTTTCCAATCTTGTTTCTCCTAACCCGTAAATGAATTAAAATCAATTAAAAATTAACACGTTGTACCAAAGAGCATAAAACCGAACAAGAAACGGGTTTTATGTGGGGTTTAATCACCTGATTTGGTGGTATTGTGAGAATAACTTGTGTGCGGTTAGGTGACACAATAGGCTTTGGATAACAGGAGTCCAACTGCAATTATAATTCTTAGATGATTAATTTAGACCCTCGGTTTAGTTTCGCTGGCATGCCATTTCCTCCTGTTTGATCCTTCTTCGGCAATGCATTTTTTGCTCTATTGTAATGACTTGTTTCGGCTTAAGGTAAGACTTGGGGCGTCACATTGGTTTCAGTGGAAAGTGAACCCGATCCCAAAAAATAGCTACCTCGATCTCCATTGCTGAATGCTGTACTTTGCGTGGCAGAAGAACGATATGTTCTGCAAATGGACAAATCTGTGAAAACCCCTAATAGAAGGATTGCAAATGACGTTCACCTTTGGCAACAATCCTAGTCCTGTGTCTTAAAGGAAAGGCATTAACGACTGAATCGACACTAGCCTTGGCCGTGAACCATGTGGAATACTTTGTTACAAAGCTGCCTTACGGTACTTGTATGTAGATGTTGGTGAAGATAACACGTGATACCTCCTCCACCTCTCAACTAGTTGGATAAAATCCACTTATATATGCGGCTGGATAGGACTGAAATGGAAACAAGGTGACAGGGAGGAATAGACGCGAAACTCATACCCACAACACTATTTTAAGCACCGTCCTTTATTAAATGACTGATTTTAGGCCAGTATTCTTACGACTAAGGACAGCACATTCCCCTTCCCCAATATAGTTCGCCAACAGGATGAAAATTCAGACACAGTGGAACCGCCGAGGGGAATGAGTGACGTTGCAGTCAAATATCCTCTCAGTTCCGTGAAAATTCGATGACTGGGGCAGTTGGTTGGTGGAGGGTTTTCTTGCGGCGCCGACTACGTTTGGGTGGGTGACGTGGGAGGATGACGCCTAAAAGGAGAAGGAGTCTCTGAAATAATTTGATTATTTGTTTAAATCTTCATTTTAGTTTCACAGGCACAATGTTCCGCCACTGGGCAGCGCGACCTCAGGGCAATACTTTTCTGCCCGAGTGTTATAACTCCTGCAGACTTTCAGTAAAGACTCGGGGCTTTATGTATTAATCCTCGATACGGATGAAAAATTTTTCAGTAATCATGTCACAAGTCCCACACTTTCCATGGTGTTATTAGCAATCGTAAATCCAGTCGACAAGTCTCCTCGTAATTACCATTTAGATCATGGCGCTTGGAATAAGCACTCATACCTAGATTAATGAGTAGTATTTCATTTAAGACAACTTGGGGCTTTTGCTTATCAAAAGCAAACCTCGAATCGCTACAGCCAGTAAAATGAAAAAAAGTAGGGAACCTAATCAATTTCACAAAATGGAGGCGTCACATTCGTGGGATGGCGCCTGCAGAATACAAGCACTTTATGGAGAATGAATTATAACACGCTGAATAAACATTGCACCAAGAAGAGTAATGGGTGACAGGAATAATGCGACTGATAAACTAGTGAGCTGGTATTTATCTGGGTGCACACCTGACTACGGGGACTCTGCGTCCTCTACAGATCGTACTATCATGTCTACGACTTCCTAGTTCTTCCGTGAACCAGCAAACCATTTCGCTCCACCGATGTCTCATTACATCACATTGTTTGAACCAGGATCCCTTACCGCTGCCATCAACGTCACGATGTAAATAATTTCTGAAAATGTGATAATCTGTTTTAAGGTTGAATAGTTGACCACAGCCACGGGCTCTGAGCCTCGTCACTAAGACGGCCGCGTAACCTGCGGAGACTCTTAATAGAGGAATTACTAAAGTCGCTTTCACGTGCTCCGCAAGGGGGAAGGAAAACCTGAGTGACACCAAAAATGAATCACTCGAAACATCCATCATAGAATTGGCTTTAGCGTTCACGTGATGATCTAATTGCTATACGAATGTGACGCCCACCCCACCTTTGCAGCAGCCGCGTATACACCGTGTCTGTGGTCAAATGGCACTGAAATGGGGAAAAGTGATAAGGAAGAATCAATGGAGAAAACCAGACAAGTGAACTTAGGCGCTTTGTTGAGTGGCATCGCTTTACGGCAATAAATTTTATTGCTAATAATGTGCTCATCAAAGTCATTTGTTGTGGAGTGCCATCCTACGCCAGGCTGTAAAAAGTCGGCGACTTTCCCCATGTTACAAAGTGGGCACAACGTGGGAGGTGTATCATTAACACTAAGATCAAACCTCTTCTCATCTCGGAGGGTCAACACATAGTTGTCTCCTTTAGCACGTGCGTGACGCCCAGGGCACCAAACGCAAAGTGGTAGTCGAAGCGGAAGAGCCGGCAGATGAGTCGCCAAAAGCAGCGCTCAAATGATGAAGGGGTCCACGCGAATGTTCGACAACGCAAACTCCTGCCTGTGCCTATAATCTCTGCGTCCTCCTGTGTACTAATTATGAACTGCCAATGTACACTGGAGCACCTCGAAATAACTTCTAGAATGACCCAAAGTATCACGGCACAATAATCAAGACATTCTCAGGCCAGCCGATATGACCTCAAACTAGGCCAATGGGGGCGATAGAGTCGCTCCAATGTGGCAAGACCCATCAAAGAGACTTGATGTACCTAGGTACTTTCATAAAATAAATGTGGAAAATTCTGATTGCTAAGATCCACGCAGCACACATTTACGTGCGGAAATTCTGGGAAGTTGAAATACAATAATGTAATTCGTGTTTTCCCGGGTGTACCCTTTGGGCTAGAGACAATCAGTAAAAACGAACCTCGTGACAGATCGGACACTATCGGTCCCCGAAGAGCAAACTTAACCTGAACGCGTTAAACCGTAGTAGCTGTATCCCTTTATTTATTGCCACCCCATAAAGCATGTGCCCATTTAACTCGTCTGCTCGTTACAAGGCTATGAAGGCTGAGACGGATGCGAAAAATGCTAAACATAATAAAATCAATCCACGTGTTCTTGACTCTTAAATCAGCTACAGTGATTCGTAACATTTTTCTACTCAAGCAATAATCATGTTATAAGTGAGTTCAGAGGGCACGTTAAGTATCCCGACTCCTACAGCTGTGATTTAAGGATCTTAATTTCTGAAATGTAGCATTAGGTCCTGGTGAAAATTTCACTCAGTAAGATTTTCTCTTTCCTAGTAAGCGAAAATCAACCATTATATATTGGATATGCTTAAGGTCACTGATCTTTGTTCCGTAAAAGGCCAAATGTACGTGCCAAGACGCCACAACCCAACCGTGAATTCAACCCACTCTTTTTATAACAAGAGTATTTTTGAACATCGCCTTAAAATGTGAAAACCAATACTATTGAACTGTTCTTTTTTAAAATGATACAATGCTTTGGTATACTTAGCTTTTGTACACCTCAGTGTGATTGTAATGAGGGCATATCTATATTGGTTTAGGTACTTCTGATAGCTTTGGTATGATCGCGTTTATAAAAGCAATCTACAATGCAAGTACAGTAGGACCTTCTGTGGGCACGTTTTGGCAATTTTCCCAAAATTAAGCTTTGGAGAAATTATGTAGATACTCGGCGCACCTTACTAATAGTATTTCTTGCAAATTTTTTTAAAAAATTTGTTCTAATGATATTAATTTTGAATGTTTTATGATTTTTATTGGCTCAATAGGGCTTGTGTTTAATTGGTCAGATGATTGTGGGCTTTTAATTTGTCATTTCTTTATGTTGTGCTAAAATCCGCTAAGTAGGCTTTCTATCTGCTTTGTCTTTAGGCCGCCTTTACAATGCTAGTTAAAGGAATAATTTGTTTACATGCATATTACGCAGTTTTATGTATCCCTCTTGTAGTCACATATACACGTTGATAAATGCGTTTTCATTATTCTTCTCGTTAATAAATCAGCTTTAAATATCAGCTTTTAGAAGTTCTTTTGCATCAGATCTGTCTGTAAACATCACCAGTTCCTCAAGCAGTTGCATAAGCACATCTTCATTTGACCCTTCTCAAAAAAATAACTGAACGACATACATTCCTTTCTCATTGTAGTTTCGATTTCGACCCATTACCTACGAGGGAGATGCTAGCGACTCCAGTTTCTTCGACGATCGGACCAACTTATCCGAGTTGAGTAGAAACGTCGACTTGGACCATGCAAATTCTCCCACTGTGGGTGATGCTGTCACTACCACAGGCCTGCTGGACAATCCTCAAGGCGTCTTTTCCACAACCGATGCCATTCGTCGTCTTCTGCGACCAGTGCGGGAGAAACACTCTTCAAAGGAGGCAGAAGAGGTGCGCATCACCCAATTGTACCAACATGCTCTTCAAATATCCTCGGATTCTGAATCTTCTCTCGAAGCAATTCCTCTTCTAGAGAGCATCGTTCACAGCTTCTTGTTGCGCTCAGCTCCGGCAAGTTTTCCTCTTTTTTTCTGTTTGAGAATTTTGCAGTTGGCTTTTGATACTCAACTAGTTTAATCACTGATGTTCAACAACTATAACTGAAAGCACTTTACTCCTTTTTTGATGACTTGACATCTCTATTCTTTCCTTTTCAATCATTAACTGTTTTTTTATTGTAGTCAATCCCATCTCACTTAAAGACAATCAAGTTCGCTAGCTGCAAGCATCTTGCGAACCTCTATCTTAAATCGGAAAACCTGGAAACTGCTCTTAAATGGTTTAAATTGGTAAGTAATCGCTTTTAGTGGAATGGTTCCTTCTGTTTTTTCCTATATTCTGAATTCTTTATTTCATGGAGTCAAGCTTTATCGCATAATATGGGGTAAAATCTGCTTTTTTATATCGGATTCTGCTCTCTAATTTCTTTACGAAGTCTTATTATGGTCGTGATAGTGAATTTTGCCAATTGTGTCAAAGGGCGTGCGTTAACTGAAACCACGTACATCTGGGATGTACTTCATCTTATTAAAACAGCGTTCTTAATGCTTGAAGTCACGTTTTACTCGGTAATATAGGGTAAATTTCTCTCTTGCATGGGTCAGACGTACCTCATTTCGCATATATTCGTGGAATTCAAGCTATTCATAAAGAGACTTGATTTTGATCGTCACTTTGTGATCAAAATATTGCTTTATTACCATTCACTTACCCATGAAGGTGGAATATGAACCCGGTAGAAACTTTATCATTGTTGCATCATGAAGTGGAGTTTGAGTGCTTATAATCTCAAATACCTGTAGTAAATTCCAAAAGTTATTACCCTGGAGTGGCTTAGGTTGCGGTAGCAAATTGGTGGTGTGCCTTCGCACTGATTGGCAATCCGGTGGCGAGCATTTTTTGAGTAAATTGAATGCCCACTAGTAAGACCTAGTTCTTCCTCACTTTTAAGGCGGTGGACCTGGACGCGACAGATTTGAGCGTTTGGCTGAAGCTAGCTAGCACCGCAATCACACTGCATCGGTTTGATGTGGCCACACCGGCACTGACGCACATCCTCAAAGAACAGCCCTCACACCCACTGGCTCTGCACTGGGCTCTACCTTACTTTTTTGCCATCTCTGAGTTTGAAGGTGATCTTCTTTCTTTTGTCTCCGCGCACCTTTCTCTTCACAATTTGTCAATTTGGACCGTAGTTCAGTCAGTTTCCTCACGATTTCATCTTAAAATAATCGACTTTCTGATTCAGAAAGGCGAATAGAAAAGGAATACGAGTTTTAAGTGACCGCTAATTGCATTTTTTGGAAGACGTAATGATAGCGACTTCATACGCAATCACGTCCTCGTGCATCCTGGTTGTAGTAGGTACACTTTTAGCCCATTAAGGATTGAATAATCGGCTTAATTGGATTTTTGATACTTTTAAGTCCAACCTAACTTTCGCGACGTATATCACTAAAACTGAAGAAATTATGTTAGTTTGTACCTTAGCTATCTATTGACCTTCGAATCTGTGAGCCACAGTAGCTAATGACTGCGCTCAAACATAGAAAAGGTCTTAGTAGTCACTTTTAAAGATAATACTGATGCGCATTGCAATATGTCCCAAGCTATTAGGAAAACATCAGCGTTCCTGGATTAACTTCTTTCGGTGACTTTTTAGACACGTTTGTCCTCGGCTTTACCAATTTAGTAGATGATTGACCATGCAAAATGGGGTTTGATTAGTCACACTGTAAAGAAATCCTAATATTTCAGATTAACCGACATTTCATCAAAATGGGGGTGGTTTAATGTTTTCAGGATGGCAATATACCTTATTTTCTCATTTTTGATTGCTGTTGTAAGTCTATGAACGCCTACTGTCTGAGGCCTTTAGGCACATTTTCTGATGTTTAAGGTTGGGCGTACGTTACATTCGGGTTGCTTTATTATACTTTGCAATTTGTATTTTCTGAATCATATTAAGATTATTATCAACAGCAATAGTGGCCTAAAAATACACACTTTCTAATGCCACAGTGATGCTCTGCTCTTTGTTCCCTTGTAATGGACTTATTCAGCCTGTATCTCGTACTCGGTGCGGTGCCTCTTCATCGATCCGCGCAACCAAGCGGCCATCCACTGCATCCGGCGTGTGTTAGCCCTACGACCGAGCCTCGATTTTCTGTTGGAAAAACTTTTGGAGCGCCATCCGAATGTTTTGTCGCATGCGATTGTCTCCGAGGAGGCCAAAGTATCGGTGAGATGGGAGAGGTCCTTTACAATGATCCCTTTTTTCCTTGTTTAATGTTGTAGTGTAGTTTTATTTCAAATACCTTGGTAATTCCCTGCTCTTTCGTATGTAGGAGTATATTCATGTAATATTACAACTGCCATTGACGGCGTTTATGCGTTTTTATCAACTGGTAATTGCATATGTAGGGGTAAGTCTTTGTATCAGTCTGTGCTCCTCAAAGCACCAAACTGTGTAAACCTCCACCGAATTGTTATTTCGGATTTTCTTTCTATGGATCAGTTCTTTGGAGACAGTTCTGCGTTTCCAAATAAAGTTTTAAGTAATTTTGTTTTGGAGTCTTGAGCTAACATAAGCCAATCATTTACCCATATTTTCAATAACTTGCATGTTTATTTTGAGCACGGGTGGTGAATGGTAGCGTAAAAAAATTGCATAACTTTTAGGTCTCTCCTTTCGATAATTCACACTAGTAGTTGTCCTCTGTATTGAACCTTATAGTGTTTTATCATTCTTAAGGTG